CTGGGAGTTGAAGTCCACTCATCTTAAAGTGGCCAAGTTTGGACAACACTGCCCTAAGATGAAAGAGGCGCATGAGAAGAATGGAGAAATGAGCGAAGGATGAGAGGGAGCGCAGATCCCCTCTGGCCCGCTCTCTTGGTCTCTTCCATGTCTCAACCCACCCATGTTCCTTCCATCATCCCTCTTCCAGTCCCCCTCCAATTCTGGGTGCTGTTTTAGCTGGAGAGCCGTTATCAGCTTTTCCCAATCTCTGTGCTTGATTGATGTCCCAAAGCGTCTGGAAAAGTATGCAAAAAATCTCAGTATAGTCCTTGGAATGTTTTCTTTCATTAAATTCTTTGCGGTCATGCAGACTAAATTAAAGGAGAAGTTGATGCCTCGGAAGAATAGAAATATTAATTCAGAGGTATCTAGCCATATTTTTCTTTTTCTTCTCTCTGACCAATTTCAAAGTAAGTCCATCTTTCGAAAGAGACTCTTGCATTCTTTTAAAATTCTTATTCATCATCCCTTGAAGTCACCATTGGCTGGTTTTGTGTTATGTTTAATTTGGGCACGTAAGGTGCCTGTGAGAGCTTATTGAAAAGGCAGAGTTGTTTTTATTATTCATCAGTGCCTCTCAGCTGCTATTTTTTTGGGGATAAATAGAAGATGGCTCCACTGGGGAGGAGGGTTGCTCTTCATACGTTGCACCGAGCAGGAATCTTGACTGTTTTTTTGTGGCTGGTAAACCACGGTGGTTACAGCTAAGTATAGCTTGGCCCTATATGTAGACCTATCCATTGTGGTTTGTAAGCCATGATTTTGGCTTAGTGTGGTAGTGCCTGAACCCAGCAACATGTTTTATTCAGCAAACCCTAGTTAAACAGGCTATAGTTTTACCATGTTAAGTGTAGCATGTCAGTCAGGCATTTTCTGGCCAATTTCCAACCAGTTGTTTTGCCATCAGCTGTCCTACATTAAAGGCAGGTGTCATCTGGCAGACAAATTTGGTGGCCCTAGATTCACCCATGAACGTACGTAGGAAAAACATCCTCCAGATGTTTGGGATTACAATGTCCTGAAGTGGGTTGGGACAGATGGGAGTTGTCACCTCGACACAACAGGAGAGCACTGATTTGAAGATAGCCCTGGATGTGTTCTGTGCAACGACACACGAAGACCCTGCCTGGAATTGTCTTGCTTTCCTCCGAGCTGCGTCGTCTGCGTCTCTCCACCGCTTCGGTTTGGCAGCGGGAGGAGGCAGCTGTGCCACTTAAACTCTTGCAGCTGGATAAATTGTCATTAAGTTAAAACCTGCTTATTGTTCCATTCTGCACATTGATTATGGGGTTGTACGTGTCCCGCCTCATCCCGCAGAAGGAGGCCCAGTCAGAACAGCAGCGCTTCGCGTTAGCAGCTATTTAAAGTCAGAGGAACCATCAAATGTAGGTTGGGTGAGGGTGGGGAAGAGAGAAATCAGCCGAAGGGTTGCTGCATCGGAGCTGGGTGCCATTCATCGGTCCAGCTCTTGCTAAGGTGAAAACATCAGAAACACCGTAAAACTCCCCTGGGGTTATGGAATACTTTATGAGAAAAATAGATCCGAAAGATCTATTGTTAAAGCAACATTTGTATAGAGAAAGGATTACAGTGCATTTTCTAGCACAAACCAATTTGGGTTTTGCTGTAATTTTTTCCCCCATAGACCAACTTTTAACAAGCTCTTAAAAATAAGTACCAAATGATTCAAATGATTCACTGCATTGGAAAGAACAAGAATGAAGATGTCTGAAGTTTGCACTTTCAAGGCAAAGAAGAGTAAAAGTGTGTAAAAGGATAAAAGGGGACAATCCTTGTAGCTGAAGATCATTTCCACGTTCTGCATTATGGGACAATAGAGAACAGTCCTTTTCTTTCTTCTGTGTAATATCACTTAAGGTACTTGGAAAATGCTGTCATATCCCACCACAGTCATCTGTTCTCCCAGCAAAACAGACATCATTCTCTCCATTCTTCTTTGCAAAACTTAGTTTCCGCTCCTTGAATCATCCTTGTGACCTTCACTGAACTTCCCCTTTGTCTGAACCCTTCTTAAAATGTGATGCTCAGAACAGAATCAATCTGCGAGAGGGGATCTGATCAGTGGAGAATAAAGTGAAACAGTGACTTCCTGTGATTTAGAAGTAATGTTTCTGTTGATGCAGCTTAAAATTGCATTAGCTCGTTCGGCAGCTCCATCAGCCTGCCAGCCACCTTGCTTGGCTTCCCAGCGGCCTCTCAGAGTTGGAGCAAAAGCAGGGGGACCAGATGTGCGTGCTTTCGGGAAATACAGCCCAGGCCTTCCAGTAGAATTTCTCCAATCAGTTTTGCTTCTTTTATGGGTTTTTGATCAGGGTGCAAGTCGGTTGAATGAATGTTAGCGCTGCTGACAATCATGGGGATTCTTGTTCCCAAGGGAAGAAAAATTACTGAAATGCATGCTGTGCAGTTAGAAAATGGGACATCTTGGGGATAAACTGGCCACAGAGGCTGATTTGCTCCTTACAATGAGCTACAGCGTTTCCTACATGGGGGAGAATTCAGAAACAGGGTCCCCCCTTTGATCCCCGAATTTAGAACCATCAGTTCACCCACCAACTCCTTCGCCTGCTCGACCGGTTTTCCATCCTTTCTGAAACCAGTTTCGTCTTGATGTTTTTTTTTCCAGCTGCTAAAAGGAATGTCTGCCTCTCGCCGAAAACATCTGGACCGCCTTGAAGATGAGGACGGGGCAGAAAGTGGGGATTGCGATGACGAAGATGTCTGCGATGGGGCTGGGGCTTCTGGAAACGGCGAATTAAGAGTGAAGAATCAGCTGAGATTTTTGGCAGGTAATGGGGAAGTAGGAATTGTGCTTTTCAGCTAAACCTGTGGCAGCCAATACCTTATTATGTGTTGCTGCTTTCCAAAATAAAGCAGCCTTAGCAATGGAGGCGAATATTACCTAGCCGGGTAATGAAACGTTTGCGAGAAAAGAACCAAGCTCAGAGAACCCCAAGGACTCCACTAAAGCAGCCTTGGATAATTTCAAGGAGAAGAAAGAACAAGCATTAGACCAGCATTACTTGTCATCTTGTCAATAGCAGCAGCTAAACTGGGAGTAGATATGCGGTGATCCTTCCCCAAGTCTCAGGAGAATTTGGTTGGCCGTGGTGGGAAGCGGACGTTGTCCGTTTTAATTTCACTCAGTTTCTTGATGCCAGATCTTCTCTTCTTTTCAGCTCATTTCCATGCCAGTTACAGAACTTCGTAGGGATTTTCATGGTGATGTCTCTTCAGGGACACATCCAACTGGAAGTGGTGTTTCCATAACTTGGTGAAATTCCAAGCTGTGTGGTGGAATTCTTTCAGCACACGTCATTTCAGTTTGCTTCTAGGTCCAAAAAGGAGCAAATTGGTCCACTGTGTACAAACATTTGGACCGGGCTGTTTCCTTTCCCACTCCTAATTGGAAGGGCGAGGCTGAAACAGGTGCCCCTTTTCAGTAGTTTTTGGGTGTTCTTACCCATCCCAAGCCTGTGTGACCAGCATAGCCAAATCTCATTTTCTTCCCCCATCTCTAGCGCAGGAAACAGATATGGCTGGGAGTTGAATGATACGTTTACCAAGAGGGACACCCATGTTGTTCCAGGGTTGTTGGATTTTATGCAAACCTCTGAATTGAAAGGTGGGATCAGCATTTGGAAGGAATGGGTTGGTAAACCACCCAGGGTAGCTACTGTTTTTTGCAGACAGCACTTCCCAGACCTTGGAATAGCTTCCCGAAGGACCACTGGAGTCGTTGGCATCTGTATCTTGGCTGCAGGCACCACTCCATACCTCTGGAAGATATAATGGTGCCCGTGGTTGTGTCTTTTTCTGCAGCCGCCCACCAACAGCCCTTTGCTCCACTGAATTGCAGCTTTGACACTCACAAGCCCCACAACCACATCACGTTTTGCTATCAGCCATTGGGAAGTAGGCCAACAGCTCAGCTTGGCTGATGCTATAGGCAGCAGTTTCAATATTCCAGTGGTCTGGGCAAACAAAAATAACAATATTCCAGGATTGACTTCTGCAAACCCAAATATTTACTTTTTTGACATTTCTGGCTAAAGTTTTATTTTATATGCCCCATGCCTGGATTCTCTGCATGTTAGCAGAGTATTGACCATGAAAACCTACTTAGATCCCATTTTAATGTGTGCATTCAGTGCCTGATCACTCATTATGCGAGCAGAGAGGAAGGTGTTGAGTTTGGAAACATGCATAGAACCAAAACCAATCTTCCCTGGGAGAAAAAGTTATTTATGTATAGTTTGATTACCATATTCTTTCAAGAACTCAAAGCAAGGTATATGGGGTCTCTCCTAATCTTATCCCTTCAGCAACAACCTTGGGAAGTAGGTTGGGCTAAAAGAGAGAGAGACTGGTTCAAAGTCACTTAGCAGGATGGTGGCTGAAGGAGGACATGGATCCGGGTCTTCCCAGCAAATCTAGCACCTCAACCACCACCTTACCCTGTCCTGTGCAATGCAGAAGCTGGTGCATCTGCCAGTTACACCATTGCAAAGAGGGGGGAAGAGGCATGTAAGAGGGTGGCAGGTATCAGGAAACAAACAGGATCTAAGCTATGAATGAACTTCTGCTCATTCCACCATATCTAATGTGTTTGGAGCTTCTGTTGTGGCAGCCATCTTGATTTTTTTGACCCCTCTTAGTGGCCCACTTTGGAGAAGATATGTTGGGAAAATACAGCTAATTACCGTAACCTGATAAAAAATTATGACAAGAGTTTCCAAGAGGATCCCAAGGGGACTTTCTCTTTCTGGCTCACACACACAGACTAACACACACACACACACAGCGCAAAAGCTTGGTTGTTGGACTCGGCCTCCCCTTTGGGCTCAAAAGTCTAAGTTGTACATTCCCCATGACCGAAAGCAATTGAACCTGGAAAGAATCAGACCTGGAGCTTTCAACTTTAAAGAGGAAAAATATAGGCTCTTAAAATGGGTCCAGATGCTTCAATAAATTCTGTCCCCTTGATCTGCAACAATTACCTGGCATTTAATGGAGTGGAAGCAGAGAGGGTGCTGCCTGTCCGATCCTTCTGCGTGTGTGTGTGTGTGTGTACACACATCCATGCATACACATCCTTATTTATGTTACGTAAAGCGTAAATCAAACACTGCTGATGAAAGACACAGGGGGAAGTGGGCCTTGGTGTTACCTTCCCTGGCCTCAGAACAACATTGGAAGAGGAGACCCATGTGTGTTTCATAAGGAGGTTCCTTATCTAGCCTCTAAGCAAGTCTGAAGACCAGAACGGCATGATCCATGATTCGATCTTGACGTTTTCTTTTTTAATGAACTGCAGCTGCTGGGAGGAAGAGACGGCCAGCCCGGGGCTCAGCCCTTTGCCCATTGCTCAGATTTCTCAACTGAAATGCTTCCCACCACCCTTGTCCCTGTATTCCCTACCCCCAGGATAAAATGAGAAAATGAGGGAAACTGCATGCTTTTCAGGGTCACGGAGGAGGATTTTGGAAATCATCTTCCATCTCAGCTGCTCTGCTCCGAATTAGCAGTCCCTCGTACCTGCAATTAATTAGCAAAGAAAATGGGTTGCTGACATGATGGGTGGCTTGACCCTGACTTGTGTTCTGCAGGCAGCAGAACTTCAGAGTATGGTTGTGACGGGTCAGGTTCACCGAAGAGCATAGTTGGGAGGTAGCTCTGGAGGAACAAGGCTGTCCACGTTATTCCAGGAGTTGTGTGAGGAAGAGCTCCTAATTTATACGGAGGCCACTCCGCTTGTTAGTCAACAGAAGATTTATAAAGTCAAGTGCACACCTTCAAATTTCCAAGCTCTCTTCATCAGCCACATTGGATGGTTGAGACATTCAGCCAAATTAAAAAGAAAAAAAGGGGGAGGGAGGGAGGGGGGAGGGAGAAGAAGGAGAA